GTGCCACCTAAGCGTGGGGTAAGAAGTTCGTGTGACTGGCCAGTGAAAGCGGGGGTCAACGGGGCTGGGAGGCAGCTCATTTCTAGAAGGGTTGGTGATGATAATGGGTGAAGAATTACAATGGCAGGGTTGGAGAGATGGCTCAGGGGCTTAGAGCACTGGCTGCTCTTCCAGAGGACCCGGGTTCAATTCCCAGCACCCACATGGTGGTTCACAACCGCCTGTAACCCTAGTCTCCGGGGATCTGACTTCCTCTCCTGGCATCTTTGGATAGGCATGCACATGGTGCATAGATAGACGTACGTGCAGGCGGAACACCCACACACATCAATTAAATTTAAAAATTTTAAAGAATTACAAGCAAGGGATACCACATAACCGGTGCGTACAGCATGGGTACCCTGCAATCATTTTCTAGTTGGGGTGTCATGCTTGATGATCTTTGTCTTATACACACAGAAACTAAGGCTCACAAAGTTAAGTACTTACTTACCCGTGTGCCAGGAGGTACCTTTTTATTCCCATGCCCAGACACAGACTCTGAGACCCAAGCCCCGACCAAGAAGTGACAGGTTCAAGCAGCAGCTAGTGAGCCCCACAGGGCCAGCGGAGTTCCTTAGATACCGGGGGTTCTGAGACACTCTCTGCTGGCAGTGGGGATCAAACTGACTTACTTGCCGTCTGCTAGGCTGAGGCCTCGGAAGACAGGCTGAGCGGGGGCTTGTGGCCGTCCCGTCTGGTCCTCATACAGAAAGCGAACAGGGCGACCGAGCTCCAGGCCCAGCTGCTGGACTCCCTGGGCACTGTACAGAGTCAAGAGGGGAGCCTGGAGGCCAGGGCGGGTCCGGACAACCGTCAGCAGAGAGAAATCTTTGGGAAAGCCTCCTGGTACCCCAGAGAAAGAGATACACAGATGGAGTGAGAGGTGAAGAGATCCCAAACCTCACCTCCCCACCTTCCCATCTCACTGCCCAAACCTGGGAAGAGCTGGCGGGTGGGTGCACTGAGCTGGGCAGGTCGTGACACGCGGTAAGCCACATCAGCCGGACAGACCCCTTTTGATTTCCGGACACCATCAGGAAGGGAGGGGAACCTCAGGGCACGTAGTACATCCACAGAGGGTGCACCTGGGAGAGTCAGGGTTAGAGTCAGGGGACAGAACATGTCCCAGGGAGGGTCTAAATAGGGAACACCCAGATCCCCAACTCAGCCGCCCTTACATTCTCCTGAAAGGACCTATATGGATGGCAAGCAAAGTGACCCAAAGGGGAAGAAGCATGGCTAGCCCTGGCTGGCCTGCAATGTGACCCAAGGCTAGCCCTGGCTGGCCTGCAATGTGTCCCAAGGCTAGCCCTGGCTGGCCTGCAATGTGAC